ATATATAATTTTTTTTTTTCACAATGTAATTGGGATGCAGGCACTTGAAAAATTGACAGGCTGTGACATTTATCTCCGCCCATCTGTTAGTGTTTCTTTCTACTTTTGATGGTTGTATTTGTAAATTTATTTTATCCGATCTTCCCACATGCCCAGATGGAGTGGGAAGAGAAAGATGACTTCTAATGATTTTAACTTGCTTGTAAATAAATAGGATGACCTGGTTGCCGTTATGGGTCCAGTTCAAGGATTGGAACTAGTCAGAAGGATTGTGGAAGACTGCATTGTTCATAATGTGCCTCCGGCACCCCGTGTCAAGAGGCTTACAACTTATGCTCAAACAATTAAGGGAGTTAAGGCATTGAGGTTATGATGAGTAATCAGAATTAATGTTGGGCTCTGCTGCTCCAGTTGTGGTCGCTTAGTCCATTAGTTTACACTATACTACAGATGGATGCATCAGAATCTGCATTTAAGAAATATATATTATCTACTTGTTGAGATGCTTAATTTGTGTTTAAATGTAATGACGTGTTTAATTCCTTCACTAATCAATATCATATACGCAGAGTAGAGTTTTTATTATCTATTTGCATTTAAAGAATATTGAAGATATACATATGATCAGATAGAAAAAGAAAAAGGAAAGAAAGAAACAAAATAATTTTGCGGATTGTATTAAGCAAGGACAAATATATCATCGCATATGACGGTGCGGTGGGTTGGATTTGGTGTGGATTTGGAACACATGCTGAAAAGACCTTTGCTGGGTTCAAAATTTCAAATAGAAAACTGTCATCTTCTTTTTTTTGTTTTTGTTTTTGTTTTAAGAACAGCCAAAACAAAAAACTATTAGCACAAATCTGGGCTTCTATGAATCGCTTTTGGAGCAAATCTTTTTTTGGGTACGTGCACAACCACACTGGATATCCAAAAGAGTAAGTGAGGAGCTATACTATCCCAAGCCGCCAAACTGGATATCCAAAAGGGCAAGTCAGGACCTACTATCCCAAAACAAACTGGGATATCAAATCCCAGAACAAACTGGATATTCAAAAGGGTAAGTGAGGAGCTATACTATCCCAAGCCGCCAATCTGGATATCCAAAAGGGCAAGTCAGGACCTACTATCCCAAAACAAACTGGGATATCAAAAAGGGAAAGTAAGGACCTATTATCCCAAAACAAAAAGGAAAAAGAAGAACCTTTTCACAGAGCTATTATATATACAGTCCTCTCTGCCCCCATTGTGTTCCAGGTTTAAGATAGTGCATGCACACATCAAGCTTCTCGATCATATCTTTTCAATTTTTGCTCCTTTTTCTTTCTTACATCACATTCATAGTTTATGATTTTACGTACAATGGATGAACAACCACATTTACCTGGACAAGAATCACCATCATTCTACAAAAAACTTGAAGATGTGGATCTATTATTCATAGATGATCTAAACGGTGGTAGAACGGTTGTTGAGGGTCAAGTAGAAGTCAATGATGATAACTTGGTTGGCGATGATCCCAATCACGGTCAAGGAGTGGCAACCAATGATGGTAACGTGGTTGGCGACGATCATGATCAGGGACAGGGAGTACCAGCCAGTGATGGTAACGAGGTTCGCGACAATCAACTTACGGGAGGAAGGCTAGAGACAGTCAGGTATGTATCCTAACAAATTTTAAGTATTATTTTATTATTTTTCATTTGTCTTACAAATGTTTAATTCTATATATGTTTTCTATAAAAATAAATAGGACAACCTTTCTCAAACAGTTCTTAATGATTTTCAGGGAGTGCTACAAGTTGGTTGTGGTGCGTAAAGGGCATAATGACGAAGTTATTGAAATGAACAAGTTTGGGAATGTGGCATCCGTAAAGAATCAGATTGAAAATTTACTACGGATAAGTGCAATCCAGCAAGTCCTATTCTTCAACCGCCAATATCTCGATGAAGATTCGCTTATAATTGAGAGCATTGAAGGGCTTGCATCTAGTTCACGCATTAAGCTCTTTGAATTCGAACCATTGGGGGAGGCAGCCACTGCCACGGCTTCGACTTCAGCAGCGCAGCCATCATCTGCTGCACCAGCGGGTGTACACTTTCCTCCAGAGAGTCACAGACGTGCACCCAATCAGAAATTTAAGATGAATGTTGAGTGTACAAATTTCCCCACGAGAATATTCGATTGGAAATATTTCCCTTTCTTCTTCGCCGCCTCCTTCTCCCTGCAAAATAGAACCAATAAAAGGACCACACCCGGGGGGTGTTGGTTAAAGGCCCTCCGATGCCTAAATTAGTTCAATTGAATCGTATAGAAAACAATAGCTAATATAAGGTACGGAGATGTGTTTATAGTGTAAACCGGGCGGTCGGAGCCTTATGTAAAAGAGAGAGAGAAAGGAGGTGGCTAGGGTTTGAGTGGAATTTTCTGCAGAGTTTCAGTAGGGATTTCAGACGTACCTCAACCCTTGTGTGTGGCCATCTTTTTATAGTTGTCTTGGAGGCTAGGGTTTCAGAGGAATAATTCCGTAGATGGAAGGGAATTATTCCTCCCATTTATGGATTGATTTGATTAATTAGGGATTTGATTTATTAGGGTAAATCAAATCCCTAATTGTGGTAGGTATCAAATCAAATCCCATTTTAATTAGGTAACTCCTCATTTAATTGAGAATCGGGGGTAGGAATTGGGAATCAATTCTCAACCCCATTAGGTAATCCTCAATTTAATTGGGTAATTCCCAATTAAATTGAGTAACTCCCAATTAGGTTGATTAATTCCCAATTAGGTCAAATAATCCCCAAATGGAATGAATTATTTGACCTAGGGTTTTGATTTAATTTGGTTACCACAAATGCCCCCTAGCTTTTGCATGGCGCGTAGTGGCATGTAAGAGATGTAAATGATCCGTTGGGTTGTCCAGCTGTAACTGGGCTTCCTTCGTGGACCTGGGCTCCTGAGTAGAGGAGGTGTTTGACTTGCCAATTTTATGAACTCCCAAGTTGGAAAGAGTTTGCGATTCCTTGTAGGTCAAGGAATTTTGATCCTTATAAATGTAGGGCTCCTCCAATTTATTCTTCACATCAAAAGTCTATTCCACCGATTCCGTAAGTGAGAGAGAGAGAAAACTTTGGAGGGCTTTCCCAGCGTGCTTGAAACTTCATCTTTGCTGTCCATCCAAGGTAATTAGCTTGGAAGAATTTTTGTGTCTCTGACTTTTGGCAGCTTGGTCCGTGTCTTCTAGTTGGTTATTGGAGCTGTGAGACATGGGGCGTGGTTGGTAAGGTGTGCCCATGGGCTGGAGCATGGCAGGCTTGAAGCTGCACGCTTTGGGCTCGAGCATGGAGGTCTGGAGGCGCTAAGCCTGGCATGCGAGGTGGGCTCGAGCTGTGGCTGGTTGGCGCTGGAGCTGGCGTTCCCTGGGCCTTCACATGGAATGCGGGCCAGTGCTGGAGCTGTCTTGCGCGAGGTGTGGGCTGTGCGCGCTGGAGTTGGGCCTTGCCCGAGACTTGGGCCGCGCCTGCTGCTTTTTGGAGCGAACGGGCCAGGCGCTAGGCAGGCCTCCGTGCTGGACTTGGTGCTGGGTTGTGTGCTGACCAGGCTTTGAGGAAGTGGCAGATTGGGCTGCCCCATTCTACTCAGGCTTGGACTAGTTCGAGCTGCTCTAGGATTTTTTTTTTTTTTTTTATTTTATTGTTGCTTGCAGATTTTTCTTGTATTGTAACTTGTAGAATTTTTCTTTTTGCAGCTGCTCGTTGACCTACTATGTCTTCCGGGGACGGTAGCAAGGCTCCAAGCTCTCAAGCACCTTTATATTTGTGGGGAGGCTCCCTAGTGCCTAGCAAGAAGTTCGTGGCCAACCTGCACCGCTTGACGACCGACGCTCAGTTCCAGAAGTGGCGTGCTGCCTTCACGTTTGCCATTCCAGATGACGTGCAGGTCAAGCTGTTGAAGTCTCGGACTGATAACGAGCCTTTGCTAGATGCGAACGATCCTGGTGCTAGGGTCATTACCTTCCGTCCTTTTTACTTCTCCTTGGAAAATATTCATGAACTGCACAGAGAGTCACAGACGTGCACCCAATCAGAAATTTAAGATGAATGTTGAGTGTACAAATTTCCCCACGAGAATATTCGATTGGAAATATTCCCCTTTCTTCTTCGCCACCTCCTTCTCTCTGCAAAATAGAACCAATAAAAGGACCACACCCGGGGGGGTGTTGGCCAAAGGCCCTCCGATGCCTAAATTAGTTCAATTGAATCGTATAGAAAACAATAGCTAATATAGGGTACGGAGATGTGTTTATAGTGTAAACCGGGCGACCGGAGCCTTATGTAAAAGAGAGAGAGAAAGGAGGTGGCTAGGGTTTGAGTGGAATTTTCTGCAGAGTTTCAGTAGGGATTTCAGACGTACCTCAACCCTTGTGTGTGGCCATCCTTTTATAGTTGTCTTGGAGGCTAGGGTTTCAGAGGAATAATTCCGCAGATGAAAGTGAATTATTCCTCCCATTTATGGAATTGATTTGATTAATTAGGGATTTGATTTATTAGGGTAAATCAAATCCCTAATTGTGGTAGGTATAAAATAAAATCCCATTTTAATTAGGTAACTCCTCATTTAATTGAGAATCGGGGTAGGAATTGGGAATCAATTCTCAACCCAATTAGGTAATCTTCAATTTAATTGGGTAATCCCCAATTAAATTGAGTAACTCCTAATTAGGTTGATTAATTCCTAATTAGGTCAAATAATCGCCAAATGGAATGAATTATTTGACCTAGGGTTTTGATTTAATTTGGTTACCACAAATGTCATCTTGCGCTCTTCTGTTGACATTGACACTCCTAATCCTAGCATTATTGAGATTAGACAAAACACTCGTCAACAATTAATAACGAATATTGTGGATAGTACTAAATTGATGTTCGTGTCAAGTTCAGGTCAAGAATTGGACGACTATCTGTCATTACGTTCTAATCTTAATAAGGAGATTAAGATACTCTTGGAACCCTCTGCCGTGGGCATGGCTTCACTGACAACAACCACTGGCGCCGTGATCGCCACGTCAGCCCCTATGCCGCCATCCATGTCAGTCCCCTCCACAGACATCTGCGTCAGCAGCAGGGGGTGAAAGTAGCAGGGCACCAGATCCAGCATCAAGATCAGCTCCTGATGATGAACATACTGAAAGTGACGCGTCAGCTTCCTTGCCATCTACGTCGTCATCTTCCGAGTATGTACTGTCGCCATCTGCTTCCTTGTCCTCTTCTGAGTATGTACTGTCGTCACCATCTATTGAGGGGTCAGCACCTGCAACTAGATATTCTCTGCGTCCTCAGCGCTGAACCAATTCGCTCGTGTTTTGGGATCACCACCAGCCTTTTTGTTATCTTTATCCGCGAGATAGATATTAAGTCATAGTAATTTATATGAGAGATGGATGAGGTTATAATTTATGCTAGAGATAATCAAGATGTAAGAGACACATCTAGCTAGAATATTATTTACATGCTAAATAATGAGAAACTGAAACATTGTTTTTTCAAAAAAGTACTGATTTTCTATGGTCACCTCAGTTTTTTTTGTGTGCCAAAGTTAGGAAGGAGAGGGGAAAAACTCACACACATGGTGATACGGGTACCATTGGGACTTGAACTCAGGACTACTTGGGAGCTCACCAAAAATTTGAATCAATCCAACTAACACCTCATTGGTCACCTAAGTTCCAGTATTCTATCTTCTTTCACAATAAAATGAAAACAAGATGATACATAGAAAACTACTCACAACCCTAATTCTCGTACTAAAACAAGTTTAACAAACTCGCTAGACCGTTTAATTTAATACTATGCCCGCACATGTATATAATTCGATATGAAAAGTATAATCAACTCATTGAAATATTATACAACACTTTCAAAGAGTAATTGCAAATAAGATCATCGAAATTGCCCTATCATGCCTAATTCGGGCATGCTCCACTAGTTTCTTTGACACGGCAAAATAAACAACCGCAGGATCCATTTCACACTTCTTCTTTTTCCCCCAATCTTTGACACCGCCCTATTGTCAGGCTGCGTGCAATACTGCATATAAGTTTCATTGCAGAGGCTGTGACAGTTTGGAGAGGGCTGGCTGAAGATTGAGGTCGAGTCCATTGTAACTTTCTCAAAGACGTCTGGAGTGGTCTGCGTATGGATGCCCAGTTGGAATTCATAGCGTATGAAAAAAGAGCATATTTAACGAAATTGCTCATAGGCATAATAAAGTTGCTCATGATGTAGCATCTTGAAATGGTAAAAATATTGTACGCTCCTGGGTGGATTGTAAATCCTCCTTCCTGGCTGGTTAATGCCTTGATTGAAGCTTGAAATTGTACCAAAGCCTTCATATATTTCCGTATTTAATGAACTCCTATTGGTTTGCCATTAGAAAAAAGCAAGAGTATTTTATAAGAGGTCGAGTTAGATCAACTTTCATGGCAGTTTTCTTCTTAATGTTAAAAGGGATCCCAAGTATATCCAATCTTTTGTTGATTGAAAAGAGGGTAAGCTACTATTTGAACGAAATTTATTTTGAACTATATACAATCCAAGGTACAAAAATGGAAGCAAAGCAAATGGAGTTGGTGGCCCTCTGAAAAATATATATCACCCGGGAAAAGCTCAAGGCAGCAGCAGCAGGGGTGAAGTTTAGGCCAATTGAAGATGTAACCTTTGTCATAAAAAGGGATGATCAGGTCTGTAATATTTGTAATTATTAGTTCAACTTAACATGTTTTAGAAACATGGACTTGAAGCTTATACAGTTGTCTGTGGAAGATGAGACACAAGACTTACATCTGCAATTACATTCTTAACAACTATTTGCTGTAAAGACCAGACAAAGCAGCAAGTGGCTTTGAAGCTGAAAATTCAAGATCCAAGTCTTCCAACTCTGAGTGCAATGAAAACAAGAGCATAACTCTTTCTTTATTTAATTCTAAATGGAAATTATGTTCATTACAATCAATTCACAAGAGCTGCTCTGCAGTCTTTAACAACAATAACAGAACTAATTCGTAACACAAACTTTATGTTAAATCTATAATGTTGAGAGTTAAGCTGCATACTAGTTTTGAATCAAGCTGCAGATGTTAATCCTGCAGATTAATAGTGAAGAGAATGAAGAAATCAAAGGAGCTGAAGAACTTTCCTTTCTTGGTAATAGCTGTTATCCAACAGCTAGTTTTCTTACTATTTTGAGAAACTCTACAGCTGTCATTCTTAGCTGTCTTAGTCCTTTTCTGCTGTAACAATTTCTAGCCTAGGTGTAAGAATCGTAGCCTCCAATGACCTTGAATGGCTGGAGATGAGTCCTTGTGTCCTAGTTTTTAGGATCTGTTTTTTTGGCAGCTTGTGTCATGCATTAGTGTGTTTTTGGCTCTGATGCAATACATGAAAAATAGACTGAATCATTCTCATTCTCTCTGAGCTTTTCTCTACTCTGCATACGTTGCTTACAAAAGGTTTTATTTGTTCTGTAAATCAGTCACTAAAACCAGCAAGCTAAATACCAAATTCTGACATATAACACTAGCTAACTTATTTGTTCAGTTCATCACTTGAAGTAATGACTGAAATTAAGATTCTGTCTATTAAGAATCACGAGTTGAACGAGCATAAAGCTTACGACTTCAGAGACTTAATGGTTCCAATGACTGAGAAAACAAGGACAACAACTCCTAGTACAGTTGAACTGCCAGTCCAGAGATCCTTGAAGTAAACTCGTTTCAGGGTTGCCACATGTCGGTTCCAAAAATTCTCATAGTGCTTATTAAGTTGTTCACAGATATCAAAATAGCAGGATTTATCGTCCATGATCTGCTCGCAAAGTCTATTAACCAGCTTGGCTACTGCTTCGTTGCTGCCTAGCATGTTAAGAATAACTTTGTTCTCAACCAGCAAAACCACATCATCCACAGTGTCCACCAGCTGATCCATAAGCAAAAAGTAATTGCAGATATAAGGTTTGTCTGGGTACAAAAACTGCTCCAAGGCCATGATGTTCCGAACAACACATTCTGTCTCATCCTTGACACAAAATGGCGTAAGCTTCAAGTCCATATTTCTAAAACATGCCAAGTTGAACTTACATTTAGTGGCCTCATCTTTCTTTATGATTAAGGGTCCATCTTTAAGTGGCCTAAACTTCACCCCTGATGCCCTCAGCTTCTTTGCAGCATATATATTTTTGACAGGAGCACTATTGTGTTCACAATCCATTTCTTTGTCAGGACATAGAAAATGCCTAACCAAATCGGTGAAATGTTTCGGTTTTACTCTATTCTTGATGGATTTCCCCTCATTATAATCTTTGAAGAACTCAAAGGTAAGCTCAAGCAGGGGATCATAATCAGCAGGTTCGGCTTCGTCATCTGCAGGTTTGGCTTCGTCAATCTCTATGGAATGTTCATTGCAAGGTATCCGCCAGGAGCAAGGCAAGCAGCACAGGCGGTCATTGGTACTATGAGTCTGTTCTTGTACTTCTTTGCAGGGTTGGAAACTGCGAGAGACAGGCACAGCAAAGTCATGATATAGTTCTTGAAGAAGAGAATAAGGAAGCTGATTTTCAAACAGTATCAAGTCCTGCTCTACAGCTTTCCTCAGCCATGGTGATCTCAATATATAATCATTTTTATGATTTTCAGTTTCGTAGAAGTTCGTTAAAAAGAGCTCGATGATGAAGCAGGCATCAACCACAATTATGTTTGCAGGGTCTACGTCAAGCTCAATGGTCCCTGCATAACAACAAAGAATATTTTCTTGACGAGTCTTGATAAATTGCTCTAGTTCATCCTTACTCTTCTTACAACGTGCAAGAAAATTCTCATAATATATCTTTTTATGGGTTTCCATGTCCTTCAGTTCTGGTTTTCCATGGTGGAAAGGACCTATTGATAGTAATTGAGGAGTGTATGCTGCTTCATTTACTTTGCGGAGTTTGCTGGGGACCCTGTAGATACACCACTTGTCTGGCTGGTCCAACACTCGTACCTTGCCATGGCATTCTTCTTCATTCACAGTTTTCTTTGCGATTTCTGACGTAGTCTTTGTCCTTCTGAAAATGGAATTACAATCAGTAAGAAAGGAATCGATAGTCTTGAACCCCAACATTTAGCTGTAACAGATGTTCTATTAACAAATTTACAGCATTTGTTTGATAAATTGAGCTGGTTCCTATTTTGTTTCGTATTCATAACTGTATCAGGGTGATGATTTTGGTTCTCCAAAATCTCCCTTAAATAACCTTGTGCACTCCTCATCTGGGAGAAGTAAAATTTGGAGAGGAAAATGTTGGATGAACATATTTCAAGCGAAATTTTTGTTCTTTTCGCACCTTAGCGACCTGAAGCGATATTTTTGGCTTCCAGTCATGCAGAAAATTTTGGGCCTGATAAGGATAAAAGAAAGAAGTTAGAACATATAGGTAGAGGACATTTATCCTACTAACTATTTTCCTCCAACTTAGATCATGGTAAGTGCTTTCTTGAACTATCTCACAAATAAACACACGCACACAGGATACATACACCCAAAAAAAAAAAATGGCTGCAGCTGCCTCTAGTTTCTGAAAACAACATATGGTAAGATGAAAGTCATACTTCCTGAGATTGAGAGACTTAGAGGTGTATAAGGTGGGAGGATGTTGGGCGTCATGTTTAGTATTATGCTTTGGACCATTGTACTCCGCAATCTCTTCATGTTTACTATTCTGCTTTGGACTACTGTACTCCACATTCTCGCAAACGGTCGACATCTTTTCGTCCCTTTGCTTTCTATCCTTTTCTGGTCATTGTTAGAGATTCAAACCATCTATAATTACAACATTCGGTTTATAAAAAGCAATTTAACGGGTAAGTGCTCTTAATTACTTGAGCTAAATAGGGCCCTTGCTAGATCCCAAAATCCCAGAGGGATTGTTAACTAGGAAAACTCAATGATCTTTAGCAGCAAAAAGGCCAAAAAAAAAAAAAAAAAACCTAGAAGTCAAGATATAATTAAATAAGAAATTTATTCAAGGAAGCAATATCATATCTCTCTTACATCTGGTTTTGCATTTCCTAAACAAAAAGCAGAAAAAATTCCCATAGTTTTTTTTTTTTTTTTTCACTTTGATTTTTCTCAACTATTTTAAAAATAATAATTTTCCTTTCTCAGTCAAAATTTTAAGTATTTGTGGCCCTTTCCAACTCTAACTTTAATAATCCCTCCACAACCAAAGTTGCCATTGACAACATTTGCAGACATAGTTTCTTCATGGAGGTTTTTTCAATACATTATCATGTTACCAAGAGAGAAAATAAAAACAATGGGAATTTTTTTTTTCTTTTATGTTTTGATAAAAAGCTAGTGGTTCAGTACGTAAAATTAACTAAAAAAAACGAAGAAGCTGTTTTGAGTAAAAAGAGAGAACACAAATCACTTTGTGGTTGACCCTCAACATATATGAAAATAGAAACACATTAAAATACAGCAAAATCAATGGATCGAGTAAAGAACCTGCTGCAAGTTTAGATTATGCTGAAAACGGAAACGGCAGGTATCTTACAGTTGCTGAACTCAGAAGTTCTTGACTACTCCTCGATCACCACAATCTTGTTCTTGTAGGCTTCTAATCCATCTTTCTGCTATTTATATTGATCACGGCATGCAAGTGTAAATTAATTAAAGTTAAACCAAGACTAAAAGAAGAGGGGATTTAAGTTTTTTTATTTTATATATTTTTTAAATATTTTTTTTAAAGAACTTAACTTAAACAAAGACTGGCGTTAAGTAAACTAACCACGTTCAAATTTTGAGAGTTTTCCACAAAACACTCATGCACATGATTGGCTATCGCCAGGGTGGCGGCCAAGTACCTCCTAATTTCTAGTAATTCTCTCCAAAAATATATAAAATTCAGTAGTTCACACTTTGGACTTGAAAACAAAAACTAGTACTAGAATGCTGACCAAGGACCAAATAACGGAAACCTAATTAATTGAACTGGCTTCTGACTTTTCATAGCAATTCTTGTGATATATATAATTGCATACCTATCTGTCCCATATGGAAAAGGAAAAAAAATACGTATTGCCTATCTGTCAATTGATATAAATAACTATAAGACTTTTTACATTGACAAAAAAAAGAAGACGAGACTTTTTTTATGTGGGTAAGGGGTAGAGAGTGTAACACCCCGACTCCGTTTATTTTCCTAATTTAATTTAATTAAGGGAAAATATTAATTTACTCTTGGGTTAAGGGTAATTTTGGTCACTTTCGTATCCGGGAAGATTTTGGGACCGTGAGTGGTGTGGTTGCGTAGGTGGTACTGAGACGAAACCGTAGACAGGCGGTAGGCTTGAATCGGAGATTTAACGAAGTTTTGGCGATCAAAACTTGTTCGGTGGCAGAACCGTAATTATTTCGAAGTAAGATTGGGGTAAAATCAGATTTTTCACAATTTCACCTCACTTTCTCTCTCTTTCTCTCCCGCGTTCCCTCTCCCCTTCGACTTCCTCACAGCCATCACCTTCCAAGACCACCGCCGCCGCTACAGTCCACGACCGGCCTCGCGACCGGTCCCGATCGGACCGGAGTCTCTCCCTCCCCCATCCCCGGCA